AGACATGAGAGTATCTTGTTAATTACATCTAGGCACTAGGATGCCTGTTAGGATTTTAATTTATATGGAACCATTTGTTTCCAGTGCTTATTCTTGAATCTCAGTGTGTTGTTAGTTAAACCTATTTCTGATTTCACTATAAGCAGATCTGTGTTAAACAGAGCAATGAGCTGAGGTTGTCTTCTTAGCATATGCACGGCGTGCCTCAGGCAGCGTGTGAGCGGATTCATAGCCGAATTTGGTCCACTGGTTGGATTGTTACTTCCCCGGCTTGTGCCAGGCCCTGATGGGGACTGCGATGTCAACGCCGATCCATACCCCCCACGAGCTGAGGTGAAACTGGTGAGCGGGGTGCACGGCTTCTTGGGAAGCAGCAGATCTTTGAATACTGTGATGGCCCAGTGGAACAGGGGCTGGATGCTCCAGGGGGCTCAAGGGTCAGAACAAGCCTATAACTAGCCTGTAGATTGACAGTGGGCCTGCCTAGGCCTAGGGGGAGTGCTGGTATTGCCCATGCCCGGTGGATCCCCAACAGGCACAGACAAGACTTCTTCACACTCAAGGCAGATGGTAACGGGGTACCACGCAGTGCTGGGTACCCCCGGGAAGCGTCACAGCTCTTGAGGGTTATGTTAAGGACTCCAGGTTGGCGCATTGGGAAAGCAGGCCAAAGAGAGTGAACGTTTGTGGGTCTGCTGTCCCAAGAATTTGATGGTTACAGGCGATGGTTGCTGAACCAAAGTTACGCCCAGGCACAAGTGGGATGTAGCCCACGAAAGCTTATGCTCAAATAAATTTGTTAATCTCTAAGGTGCCACAAGTACTCCTGTTCTTTTTGCCCATGCACTGTGAGTCTGAGCCCTGTCCTTGGCAGTTCTCGGAGCATGGGGCCCGGGCACAGTCCCTGTATTCTGAAGGGTTCCTGTGGGGAGTTTTGCCCTGAAACCAAAATTTCTGGTTTGACAGCATCATTTCAAAGGGCTCTAAAATCGATGTGTAGCCCCTGGTTTTATTTTAGCAGCATTGTCAAGTACATTCGCCTTGATCAAACAGTGGGAAATGGAAAGACTCTACTAACCTGTTAGTATTTCGGCCATGCTGAGCAATGGAACCGAGTGCAATCTAAGACAAACAAGTTGCAGGGTCATTTGGTCAAGGGATTTCTGACATACCCTTCATCTAAGGTGAGCTGCTCATTGCATTTCCAGATCCTTATTTTGGATGCAGAACTAGGAATGAGTGAGGGGGAATGTGTGGGGCGGGGGGGAGACAGGAGATGGGTTTGGAACTCAGCAAGGGGACGGGGAATGAGGAAGATAATGTGCCAATTTTCAAAAAAGGCAACCAGGTGATTGGGTATCGATAGGCCGGTTGTCCTGACAACAATCCTGGTCGAAATACCAGAAAAGCTGAGCCAGGGTTCAACCGATAAAGAATTAAAGGCTAGGAATATAAGTAATGCCAGTCAACGTGGTCTTATGGAAAACCAATCTTGTCAAACTAACCTGACTTCACTCTTTGAGATGACAAGTTGGGTTGGCAAAGGCAACTGTGATGTGATCTGTATGACATCAGTAAAGACAGCCAAGAAAGGAAGTACAAGAATCAATGGTTGGAAGATGAAGCCAGACCAATTCAAATTAGAAATAAGGCCCATGTTTTTAACAGTGGGGGTGATTGACCATTGTAACAAACCAATGGTGGATTCTCCATCTCTTAATATCTTCGGACCCAGACTGGCTGCCATTCTGGAAGATGCTTTAGCCAAACACAAGTTATTGGGTCCAAAACATGGGTAGCCGGGTGACATGCTATATGGGAGCCAGACTAGAGCTCCTAATGGTCCCTATGGTCCCTTCTGGCCTTGAACTCTATGACTCATGGATAAATGGGGATGGGAGGTAGGGGAGAGGATTGAGGGGGGGAGGGTGTGTTGGGCCAGGGGAGGGGAGAAACACTGGAAGGAGGACATGGGTGTGGATGGCAGGGGGAGGGACTTGTCAGCTCCACATTCCCTTATCCGGTGTGAAGCCACCACCCCTTTCCCCTCCCCTCCCCTGCTCCTGTCCAGCTGGGTGATATGGGGGTGGGGTGGGGGTAAGGAGAGACACCTCTTATTCACAGCGCCATCGCTCAGGGCAATGGCCAGGAGACAGAGAGGGACATACCTCAGACAAAGGGGGAAATAGGGCAGCAGCTTCCCCAACCCCAGTTGGGATCTGGGGGGCCCTGCATCTCTGGAAGTGTTTGATCAACTATTCCTGTCCCCGTGCATGAGCCTGGTCTGCACAGTTCCATTGGCCCCTCCGACAGGACTCAGTTCTGCAATGAGCCATCGATCTCTCAAAGCGCAGCCTCACATCACAGCAACAGATCTGATCACAAGCTGCTCCAGCTGATCCCTCCACGGCTCAACACAGCTACGCCTCATACAGCAAACCCGCTTGGAGCACACGCAGACAAAGGCTGGAATTCAAATCTGTGGGACACACCCCAACACCACCCTATTCTCTTAGCCCTTCCTCACGCCTCTTGATTATGGGTAAGTAGATTTCAGAATCAGAGGGGACCAACAGATCCTGTAGCCTGTATAACAAGCCGGAGAATTTCTCCAGTCACTTTTGCATTTAGTCTAATAACTTATGTTTGACAAAAGCATATTCTGGTCTTGATCTGAAGACATCAAGAGCTAGAGAATCCCCCACTTCCGTTAGTGGTTTAAACTTTGCACCCCCACTACTGACTCAGACACGATGGCTATTGCCCACTCCAGGAATCGGAGTTAAAGTCGTGTTGCAGTGACATGGGTGTACTTTAACTCTCCACTACAGGGTTTTCAGAGGTTTAAGTTTAATGACTTTCCTCATTCTGGAGGGGCACAAGGCACCTCTGGGCAACCTTAACTCTGCTTTCACAAAGTTTGGGGGAATTTAATATATGTGGTAAAGAAGTAAAAAATGGAGAAGAGTTTTTCTTTGAAGTTAGGAGTTATATGCCCTCCAACTCGTTCCCTTTGAGGTTAAGAGTTTGACGTTCTTAACAATGTCCCAGTTGTCCTAAACATGGATTTAAAATCCCATCTACAGAAATGTCCAGGGAGATTTCACCTTCTTGCAAGATGGGTAAATAATGAGACACCAGAGACGGCCACTTTTATACAAGGCACAACGTACACCAAACAGGAAGCAGAACTAGGACATCCAGACTGGAATCTGCTTGTTGAAGGAAATCAGCTACATGGAGAGATGACATTAGAAGATGGACAGTAGAACCTCCATCCTAAAGAAAGGAGTCCTATCAAACAATTCCAGCTTGAAATAGACCTGTTTTAGAGGTGAATCAACCTTCATTACTCTTTCCAGTTAAATCAGAATTGCAGATGGACAAGAGTGAGCGGCTGATAAAGTCCATCCTCTCTTCTCACTGCTGTGTTTTACCTTTCAGGAGGGGGATCTGCCTCCCTGAGCTGTTGAGAAGCTTAGTGCTACATAGATGCTAACAATGTTTTAGCTGTATAGGTTGAGCTTTGCATAGCCTCTTTACTGTGCACCCCGCTCCCCAAGGCAGGTTTGGAAATCTCAGCCTGAAGAGTATAGTTTGGAACCATAGAAATAGCTAGATCAGATGAGATCATTGATCCACCCAGTGCAGTATCCTGTCTCCAACCATTACATGCACAAGCTACTTAAGAGGTAGGTGCACAGCGCAGCTTTCTTCCAACCCACCCATTTAATTAGCCATTTAATTGTCCTATACAGTAAGGCAGGGGGATTTATTTCCCTTTTCAAACCTCTGAATTTTATCTTTGGTTTGTTTTTGAGTTCTCAATCGTGTAACTCTGGCCATTCCGGTTCGCCATGTAAATGCTTGGTCCTTTAGAATCATGGTTTCCTGCTCATGGCTTGCTTTCTGCAGACCCGGGCAGCATGGGGTGGGATCAAACAAAACGCCCTTGCAGAGAATACATTGAATGGGCTTTCCAAATATTTTAATGTTCTGGTTCTCAAACTTTTGTATTGGTGAGCCCTTTCACACAGCGAGCCTCTAAGTGTGACCCCCCCCCCATAAATTAAAATAATATTTTTAAAAAATTTAACACTATTATAAATGTTGGAGGAAAAGCAGGGTTTGGGGGTGGAGGCTGACAGCTCGCGATCCCCCACATAATAACCTTGTGACCCCTTGAGGGGTCACGACCCCCAGTTTGAGAACCCCTGATCTAGAACATGACAAATTCATGCAGCTCCATGAAGCTGACCAATTTTTTTAAAGCCAACACAAAAATAAAATAAAAGATTTTTATTGTGCATTGCACAGGACTTCCAGTGCTTTCCATGCAGTTCTTCACACTGATATAACCTGTACTTCTATACCATATGAATACCTAGCCTGATATTGCGTGTCATAAATTCAGTGTCCATATAGAATGACAGTGTCTTTAAGCTGCTGTTCATGGAGATCAAAAATCTGTTACAGAGATTGAGTTGTCTGTCAGTTTGCAGCTTGGGTTGCATTCCTCTAGTGACCTGCAGAAGACATTAAAAAAAAGAACTTATGGCATTATTTGCTAATGGTGTATTAATCTTGAAATGTATTTTTATGTTCTCTTCCAGGGGATGCGGGATTTTCTTTAGCTACTACCTATGGCCAGTGCAGACTGCGGCAATAAAACAGCTACAGAATTCATCCTACTGGGATTTGGGGATATCCCTGAGCTGCAAATTCTTCTCTTTCTTCTTTTGTCAGTGATCTACATTGTGACCATGGTAGGGAACATCCTAATTGTTACACTCATTGTAACTGATCAGCACCTCCACACTCCCATGTACTTCTTCCTGGGGAACTTGTCCTGCTTGGAGACCTGCTACACCTGCACCATCCTGCCCAGGCTGCTAGCCAGTCTCCTGACGGGGGACAGAACCATTTCTGTCCAGGGCTGCCTTACACAATATTATTTGTTTGGTTTATTTGGAGCCACAGAATGTTATCTCTTAGCTGCAATGTCTTATGATCGGTATTTAGCAATATGTAAACCACTGTACTATGGAGCCCGTATGAATGGCCGATTCTGTGTCCTGCTAGCAGCTGGGTCTTGGATAAATGGGTTTTTGCCTATTACCATAACAACTTCTTTGATGTCACAACTGACTTTCTGTGGCCCCGGTAAGATTGATCACTTCTTTTGTGACTTCACCCCAGTGATAGACCTCTCCTGCAGCGACACCCGCCTGATAGAATTTTTGGGTGTTGTCCTGTCGGGTGTATGTTCACTGCCCCCATCTCTACTGACTGTAACATCTTACATTTGTATCATCACCTCCATCCTGAGAATCCCTTCCACCACTGGGCAGCAAAAGGCCTTTTCCACCTGCTCCTCTCACCTCATTGTGGTTACAACTTTCTATGGGACCCTGATCATTGTTTATCTCCTCCCCAAAACTAAGATACTGCGAGACCTGAACAAAGTGTTCTCCATCTTCTACACTGTCCTGACACCCCTGGTCAATCCTCTCATCTACAGCCTGAGGAACAAAGAGGTAAAAAAGGCCCTAAGAAAAGCAGTCAGTAAATTTATGGCTTTCACAAGAATTTAGAAACTGGTAGGTCATTGGTTTAGCTGTCAATGAAATGGCAATAAACTGTGGAGATTTACTGAATGTGGGAAACGGATCTTTCTGTTTGGTGTTGTGTGGTCATTTCTTCAGAATAGCTAGTGATGACTTGTGGCAAAGAAGAATGGAGTTGCTAACCCAATAGAGTGAGGAAAATCAAGACTTCTCCAGGGTCAAAAAAATTAGGTGATATCCTGACCCTGCTGAAATGAATGGCAAAACTCCCATTGACTTCAATGGAGCAGGGATTCACCTATTAAAATAACACACCATTCAAATGTAATTTACCCATTGTACCCACTTTATATAACAATTGTGCACAGTACAAATAGGCTTGGAAGCATTAGATTTTAATCTGTAAATATCAGTACATGTTGATTTCACCATGCACACTCAAACTGACTAAAAAATATTTCGATAGAAAATTATAGAAAGCTACAGACTGGCAAAGAAAGAAAAATGCAGCTTGAGAACATACTACAATTTGATTTAAGGCTATTTACTTTGTACGGTTTTGCATGTGCTGGAGACAATTTGTGTTTTAGCAGTTATAAAGCTTTAACCCTAATTTAACCTCACTTAAAAACTACTCGTTTGCAAAAGTCAAACATAAAAATACACAAGTGTCACAGCACTCTCTTACTAAAAAAAATTGCTGCCTTTCTGATTTTTACCATACAATTATCAAATAAATCAATTGGAATTAGGGTGACCAGACAGCAACTGTGAAAAAACGGGACAGGGGGTGGGGGGTAATAGGCGCTTATATAAGAAAAAGTCCCCAAAAATGGGACTGTCCCTATAAAAACGGGACATCTGGTCACCCTAATTGGAATATAAATCTTGTACTTCCATTTCAGTGTATAGTGCAGGTGTCGGCAACCTTTCAGAAGTGGTGTGCTGAGTCTTCATTTATTCACTCTCATTTAAGGTTTCGTGCTCCAGTAATACATTTTAATGTTTTTAGAAGGTTTCTTTCTATAAGTCTATAATATATAACTAAACTATTGTTATATGTAAAGTAAATAAAGTTTTTAAAACGTTTAAGAAGCTTCATTTAAAATTAAACTAAAATGCAGAGCCGCCAGGACCCTGGCAGTGTGAGTGCCACTGAAAATCAGCTCGCGTGCCACCTTTGGCACTCGTGCCATAGGTTGCCTACCCCTGGTATAGTGTATAGAACAGTATAAACAAGGCATTGGCTGTATGAAATGTTCGTTTGTACTGACTTTGCTAATGCTTTTTGGTAGCCTGTTGTAAAACTAGGCAAATCGCTAGAGGAGTTGATGTACCTCCTGGAAGACTGGAACCACCGGGTTAGTGTACTCACCAGGGATGTGGGAGGACAAGGGTCATTCCCCACTCTGCCTGATGTGGAGAATGGATTTGAACTTGAACTCCCATCTCTCAGGTGAGTGGTTAGGGTGCTGCTTAGGGAGCTTGGGGTGGGGACGAGGGGCAGGATGTGTCTCCGTCTCTCCTGTCAAAACTCTTCCACTTTGTTAAAATAATTAAATAATCATTGGACCAGGGACTTAAATGTGGCTTTCCCACCTCCCAGGTGAATGCCCTGACTACCAGGATATGGATCCACACACTCTTTCTCTGGCCCAATGACCGTTCAAATGGTCTCTCGTCACAGAGCACAGAGATCTGAAACCGGCCAGAGAAATGCCTGGAGATTTCTTCCTCTGGAGGGGGAGTCCCCAGCCAGGGCAATGTCAATGCGTTGTCTGACAGGGACAACAACCGAGTGCTATCATCAGTCCTGAGTGGTGAAGCAAGGTCAACCTAACTCTTAGGTGCAGACCTGCGGCCCATGGTCCATGCAGCAAAGATCTCACTATTTGAACTGAGACAAGAGAAGTTGGTCTGGGAGGTAACAGCAGGCCAGGGAGACAGATGGAGTGCAGAAGGAATGAACAGATTAAGGTGATGCCTGACTGGTACCGTATGAAGTCCATTGCCTTTCTCTCTTTTTCTTTCTCTCTGAACTATGTTATTATCTCAAGGGCATTCCTGACAGAATTACTGACTGAGGGATCGTGGGGGAAGAAATGCGTTTGGAAGAAGGATCTGAAGGAGGGGAGAGAGTTTGCCTGAGCTCCAGGACAAGGGATGGCCATTTAGGTGGAGGCTGCCGCATGGCAAAAGTCACTAGTCAGAGAAGGAAACAAAGCCGGCATAGCAGCAGGCAGAACAAACTGTCTGAAGAGGAGAGAGATGAGCAGCCAAGTAGACGTCAGGCAGTAAAAGGAGGGGGCAATGGAGTGCTGCTAACATTTAATCTGGGGCTCCCCCAAAGCCATTCCTCATTACCTTCTGGAGCTGGTAGCAACTGCAGATGAGACAGATGAGAAATCCTCCTATTTGTTAACCGCCTTGTTACTCGCATGGCTCTAACCTGGGATTTTCATAGGCAGGGGACTGAAAATCCCAGACTGAGAGGCGAAAGGGGAAACAGAGACCCAACATCAGATAGCAGAGCTGGGAACAGAACGCAGCTCTATGGATGCCCAAGCCAGTGATTGTTTGCAAGGACTATGCGGCCACACATTTTAAATGCATCTTCTAGCCCATTAGTAGGTAGTGTCATTAGGTGACGGCACTTCTGTTAAGAACAAATCCTTGGGAACAGTGCTGTCTCGTTGCTAAAATGGAAGCAGAATGCTGTTAGTTCATGGCATATCACCGTGTTTAACTTGGGCCATTTGAAATGGGGTCAGTGGGTGTGTTGGCAAAAGCAGTACCCCCGGCTGGGATGCTGAAGAGTTCCTTGGTTATAGTGGATTATACTGGGAAGGGAGAGAGCTGAACTGAAACTCTTCTTCAGTCATTGTCACTGAAATGCAGAGCCAAGTAAAAGGGAAGAGTGGGTGACACGAGGCTGCAGGTTGTCGTGTCCTACTGCCTGGATGAGAAGATGCTGGAGATGAGAGGTTTAAAAATCTGTGGAGAAAGCAACTACCAACAGAAGAGCCCCTCCCATAAACAGAGGGGAATCAAACTGCTAGCTTAGGAGTTTTTAAAATAAAATCTAGAGGGATATTATTTAAATTAGGAATGGAGAGGAAGCTGCGAGGGAGAGAAGTCAATCAAAGATGTGCATTAGGAAGGGTGAAGATATCTGATAAGTGGCTGAGCTGCAAACAAAATACATAGTCGACTCTATGATGAAAACAAGATATTCTACTATATGACTGGAGGAGAGTAGCAAATAGAGTGAGCTGCTTGGGAATTGTCCATCACAATACTTTTTCAACAGGAAATGCAGTTCTGGCTGAATCAACATTTTCCACGGGAATTTCAGCCAAACATTTTCAGGGTTTTTTTTCCTGAGGGAGAATTGGAACGAAATATTTTGTTCTGGATCAGGAGGATTTAAAATGAAAATGTCCGTTTGTCAAACCCATTCAAAGCATTTTATTTCACGGCTGTTGGCCATCAATGAGCATCCAACTGAGCTGCCATGACAATTCATGGGAGCTGTAGTTTAGATGCCTCGCTCCTTCATTCTCCCCTATGGGCTGGGCTCCTGGGTTGGACTACATCTCCCATGATGCAATGAGGACTCCCTTCTGGTTGAACCATTAAAAAATACATAGATTCCTAGGCCAGAAGGGACCACTGTGATCATCTAATCTGGCCTCCTGCATAACGCAGGCCATAAAACTTCCCCCAAGTAATTCCTATTTGAATTAGAGCAGATCTTTTAACAAAAATCCCAATCTTGATTTTAAAGTGTCAGTGATGGAGTATCCACCACAACCCTTGATAACTTGTTCCAATGGTGGTTTACCCTCACTATTAAAAACGTACACCTTATTTCCATTCTGACTTTGTTCAGCTAAGTTTTCAGCCATTGGCTCTTGTTAGCTGTTTCTCTGCTAGATTGAAGAACCCATTCTCACGGGTTCCCCCCAGGGTGCCACCTGGAACTGGGGTACCACTGAACCCTCCTGACTCACCAACCTGGGCTCCCTTTACACTGTATTGCTGTGACGGGCCGTCAAGCCCCCTCCAGCACACATACAGATAGGGACACACCCAACTGCAGCTACACACAGATGCTGAAATCAGCTCTGCATGGGAAGGCTCAGCTAAGGCATCTCGCAACTCCTAAGGCACACAGTGTGTAAACCCTACATTATACCCTCTTACACTGCACAGAGAACTGTACAGCATAAGTTCATGAAATTCACCCCCTCCCTCAATGTGGAGGAAGATATGCAACAGCTTTATGCCCCCAGTAACATACTAGATAGGTAGGATATGAAATAGCAAATTCTCACCCTGAGTGATAAACTGGCTGGCAGTCTCTTAAGACACAAGCTACCTTGGTTTTGCAGCTTGGGTTTCCCAGAATTTCAAA